TGCACCGGCCCATTACGGATCCTCCCGCAGGTGGTGGGCCCACGGGAGGACGTCCCCACGTCGCTCGTTCGGGCTAAGCCCAGCCAGGCCCCATGAGGGGAGGCCCAGCCACCAGGCGATCGCATTCGAGCCCCAACCCCGGGCCTGGCTCCAGGGCGGGGCCCCGGCTGCGCCATGCCGGGCGACGTCACGGTCCTTGACATTGACATTAACTTGTGTATATTATACACTTTCTATTGTATTTATGTTCAAGACTGAACTGCTTACTGGGTAACTTTAGATAGTAGGTCAGCCATTCCATGTCAACACCATGTTAAAGTCATTGTTTGTCACTTATACTACTCATAAATAACATCTACACTCTTCCCTGTCTGATTAAATCTCCATTAGTGCCATACTCAGACAATATTTGATCATTGGGAGGAAGGTCTGTGCTAAAATCCAAACTGCCCAGCCATGTCCTGAAAAATCAGTCATAAAACAAATGAACCTGATAAGTTGAGTCTGGTCTGGTTGGTAAGTGAAGGCACTAGAAGGCATACGTGCATGTATCAGTGCGACACTGAAGCAGATCACAAAACACTTTCATCATAAATGAAGACGTATGAAAAGATGCAGAGCTACTGAGCTGGCTACCTTAATCTAAAAAGTCTTCTCTCCTTATTTCTCAGCTCTTCCAAAGATTCCTTTCTGTCTGTCTTTATACATTATCTGGTCATCAGAGCCCACAGCTCAACAGTTGGATATCAAAGTACCAATAGCAGGAAAGGAGGGGTGTCTGTCTTTCCTCATCTGTTCCATCCCTGTCTGTGACAGCCACTGAGGGATTCCTGAGACAGGCCACAGGGGCCCCCAGCTCTCACTTTACACAGAGCAACCATATTATTTGGCCTAGTGCTGCTGAACTACCCACTGATGCCCGGTAAGTGCCTGCTACATCACATTAGGCGCTTTTCATCTAACTCTCTGGAGATGGGAGGGAAATTCAAGGCGTGTTCTTGGGTGTGTGCATGTAGTGGTGTAAAAAGATAAAGGCGCACACACACACACACACACACACACACAGGTACTACTACTCAACTGCTAGAATACACTTTAAAGGTCAGTTAACACTGTACCAGAGTCAGATTCCTCATGTTCAACACACCTGGCCAATAAAGCTGATTCTGATTAAATGGTCTACATATTGAAAACAAGAGGTAATCCAGTTATGAAAAACAAGGTGTGGCAGGACACAGAGGTGATAAGACTATATGAGGTTTCTTTGTATTTAAGTACGTCACTAAATTTTTATATTGTCTGTCTTAAGAGCTTGTACTAAAAAAACCTGAATCGGGTTCACATTAGTAAGTAACTATACTGACAGAGATTTGAATACAACCCTTAGCAGCTGAAAAGGGCCCAGAAGTAGCATTTAACATTTATCCAAAGTAGACAGGCGCAACAGAGCTCAGTTGGTATCAGGGTCCAAACTTCACAAGGTCTTGGCTGCTAGATATTAGAAAATATAATATTCTCCTATCCAAGTCAGTGAGCGTCTATGGCCCACTTAAAACATCCTGTGACCCACTTTTGGGTCTCTGTTGATCAGCTGGGAAACACTCAGCCACCAGCATTTGGAATTGTTAGTTCTGAGCTGCTCTGTTGTAGGAAACTATTGGATGAGTCCTACTGTGTTCATAAATATAAATACCATAACTCACCACAGAGGTGAGTGCCATCTGGAAGCTGTAAATGCGTGCTAGACCAAAGTCGGCCAGTTTGATCTGTCCTCCGCTGGTAACCAGGATATTCTGGGGTTTCAGGTCACGGTGGACCACTCGGTGTGAATGCAGGAAGTCCAGTCCCTGGAGCAGCTGGTACATCATATCCTGTAAAACAACAAAATGGAAGGAAAAAAGAGAGACCGGTGGATTTTTGCTAACCAAGACAGTGAAGTGTGAATGCGGTTGATCCAAGTTTGAGCCATGACAATGTTTAGGGTGATGATAAAACAACACAGTGTGAGATTCAGCAAATAGTATAGACCGCATGGTTAAGTCTGATTATATTTTCACACATGCCTCTGCTATATAGATATAAATATAGTATATAGACTGAAACAATGTGATATGAAGGGAGTTAACTAGAGGAGGCCTGTGTCTTTTCTTGTCAACTATGGCAGATGTTTGATAACTGACACACACACACACACACACACACACACACACACACACACACCAATGACAGGGGCAAAGAGAGGCCCCACTCAGTACCGGCATGGATGTCTGTTTCTCAGCAGCTGTCCTGCTCGAGTTAATGGTCATTCATTTTCTTTGTATACCAAAAAGCTGAATGTTGAAAATGGCCACCGGCACCACATACATAACACACTAACAAAAGTAAACTGGTGTAAAAAGGAATTAACTGTATCAAGAACCAGCTTAGACTTGTTCTTTTCAAACTGAAACACTCTCAAACAGGTCCGGCACCTGTAAACAAATAACAAGTCATAACAAAGATTGTAGCCAGGTGGTTCTGGCACAGTTACAGTTTGGATTGTTTGATCAAATAATGTCTACGAGGCATTATTTCAGGTTAAGCTAAAAGATAAAAATGAACTTTTACAAAGTCCTAACATTTACTTGGTCTGACAGAAAACCAACTGTGGTTTAAAAACGACAATATGAAAATTGGAAAAGACATCCGTGAGGTGAAATGGAAGGATGCTGGGTGTCTTGCATCGTAGTCTGTATACCCACTTCCAAAACACAAAAACTCCTCGACATACACACCACCCCACCACCTCCAAACCTGCCACCAAGACCTCACAAGTGAAATGGACCTGGGCCCATGGCACCATTCGCTGGCCGACCAGCTGGTGAGTGAGTCAAAAAGGTCTGCACACTCAAGCAGAAAACATTCACAAATGGTGTGGGGCTGTGCTGGTCATAGAGGCAGAGACAGAGCGCCTCACACAGTACTGTTAGATGGGGAGCAATGTCAGTGTGTTTGTATACACACAGACACAAACTCAATGTTCCCCCTAGACCTGTATTAATGTAACATGCGTACCTGTATTTCCATTTGTGTGTGCACACCTCAGGTTGTGTAAGAAAACATCTCTGTGTGTGACACATGCACGTGTGGGTGCCCTCTGTGCATGGGGAGGCAGGATGCAAAAACAGATACTTTTTTACACCTCCATCCAGGCATGATCTGGTGAAGAGGGCAGCACTGTGTGTATATGTTTGTGTGTGAAGGTGGGCTAACACAATAGCATGGCCCCTCCAACAGTTCCTCTTTGCTTTAACTAGCCATTTCACTGTGCTTCCTTTCAGCAGCATTTCCTAGTAAACACTAATTACCTCAGAAGTGTGACTCTTCACAAACAATCTTGGCTCACTTGGCCCAAGTGCCATCTTCTCAGCTGTATTAATTACCCTCACAACTGTGTAACAAAAAATATTTCAGCTATATTCAAACACTGTCCGGTAAGTTGTAGCATAGCCTGTAGGAAGGAAATCCACAGACTAGAAATGAAAAAAGTTAATGTAATACTGCTTCAATTTTTAAGACCACATGTTACACAAAGTGCAGAAGTGATCAAACTCATATCCTAACACAAAGTTCGTTCCAGTTGCTCAACACACAACTGTCTTCACCTAAAAGTCCCACTAACAACTTGGTCAGGAGGAAACAAAAAAAAAATTCACACAAAAGGCAACAGATCAGACCCTGAAAAAAAGCAGGAAAGAAGTAGTCAACCCTCTGCAAGATACAGTCAAAACATGGCTTTCTGAGTGCACCTCCTTTTCTTATGCAAATGTACCAGAGGCAGCCATATTGTTTATTGTAACTAGGCACAATATGAGACATCTGCCAGTTAGCGTAATTCCCTCCCCATGCTTCATTAACCTCCCCCTTTATGGGCCCACAGAATGGAGTTGTAGAAGCTTGGAAGATGGTGGCAGAGGAGGGCGGGTGAGACCCAAGAGCTGGCCCGGCCAAGGAGCTCTGACGCTGGGGCAGCCTAGCAGCTTGATGTCTTTCCAGCTCATTTGATTCCTGGAGGAGGGCCTCTTTCATCAGTGACCATGTGGTGGGTCTTGAGTCTCAGCATGGCTGAGTGCGTGGTGGAGGGTGGGGGCTAGAGCAGACAGGTTGGATGTTTAATGCTGGGGCTAGATTGGTCTTGAGGAAAATGCTGGTCTTTTCAGTTTAGGATCTTTGGCTGAAGGTTAATGTTTTTCCTGGGTTTTGGGTATTCAAGGGCGACCCCTGAAATAGGTAAGAATTTAATTAGATGGATACAAATGCTAAATTTGGGACTGTTGGCCAGGGAACCATAATCTGGTGTTGTCTGGTAAACCTAAGTGCAAAATAGGCTGTTGGAGAGAAGGGGGCAGATGGGAGGTTACTGTGCAGTATCCACTGTCCCAGAAATAATAAATGACGGTTCCTGTGTCATCATGTCACTCCGCCATTGTCCTTGGTCCCCCTCATGGCTCCAGCTCATAGCCCATGTTAGAAGAAAGAAGTTGTTGGGCCACAAAAATATCCAACGACATATCACAGCACAGAGATAACCACTGAAACTACAGTACTACATATGTAGTGTGTCAACTTCAGCAAAAACCCTGGGAAAGCCTCAGGTGAGCTCTACCTGACTCAACCAACATTGCAGATTGACACAATACTTTCACACATAAACCCAGCCCTAGGGTGAAATTCAAAGGTTACTGTAGCTTCCAGAAGGTCTCCGTTTCAAATATGACACTGAGGCCTCGCAGTCCAAAAATAGAGATGTACTTCTCCAGTATTGTACAGACCTTGGGGTGAAACACGATAGAGATTTTTTAAAGGAGATTGTGTGGGAAAGATTAAAATATAAAGAAAAACAGTTACAGAGGAAAGGAGTTGGCGACACATCAACTTCCGACCTTTGGGCAAAATGTAAGTGGACACTCAGCAGATTTATTTAATGAATCACAGAAACTGATGGTGGTGGTTTGAATGTGTTGCATCTTCAATAGTAGTAGGAGGGCTGACTGTGAAATGTAACTGTTGACATAAATTTGAGTACTTGTACTTTTTTTAATCTGGTTTCTCACACACACACACACTTTTCCTTTTGTCTCTGTCTGTAATGCAATGTAAAGTTGGAGTGTAAGGGCAGAGTGAAAATAGAGACAGCAGTGAGTCTCTAATTTGGAGCCCATCTGCCACATGTGCTGCCCTTCAAAACACCCCGGCACCTCTGATGTTGCAGGGAGCTGCACTCTGTCCCCCAGGTCTCTGGCCAAGAAAACTCACTCAATGCCTTACAGACACAGCTGTGGCCATGCAGTCACAGAGGATTAGCCAATAGCTTCTATTATATTTCAAATAAAAACTGAAAATAATCTCTCAAATTAAGCCCTTACTTGTTTTGTACTATGTCTAGGAATATTATTTATATGTTTCTCACTTTAATGGTGAAGCAAACAAATGTCACTTACACTGACCATTATAGACTTTACAGTTATCAGCGTTTATCTTCCTGGGCGGCGGTCAATTAACATTGGCAGTGGTTACCTTGATGGTCTCAGGTGGTACTCCTGGGTCAGGGGCCTTCTCCAGGTAGGTGGTCAGATCCTGATCAACGTGCTCAAAGACCAGAGTGAGTTTGGTTTCTCGGTCAGTCCGTGAGACTGTGCACACGTCAAACAACCTAGAACAAATGGAGAAGATAAATATGTTTGATGTAATTAGGTCAACTGTGCTCAGTACACTGTAACAAAGCTCCTGACCACAGCTAACAGACATTACCATATCTCCTCTGCCATCACTTCAAGGGCGGCCAGTTCTTTCTTTCAAGGGATATGAACATTTTTATGTAATTTAGGAATGGGATGTGTCTGAAATCACTCCCTCCATTATTCAGTCACTTGGACACTCAAATATAACATAGAAAAGTAAATCTAGTGCACTTTAAAGCAAACAAAGTGATTTCAGACAATGCAAGAGACATGTAAAACACAAGTCTGAATAATGACATTAATCACGAATGATGAAAGTTATTAGTTATACCTGTGCATCTCCTGCAAGTCAAAATGTTTGGTCATAAAAATGTTTACTGATATAGCAAAAACAACAGGAACACTGCATCTAGCATTTTTCATGCTTTGCTTTGTTTTGTGTAAACAAAATCTGAACAGCTGAGAATTGAACCTATCCGCTTTATGGCTGGTCAGGAAAGTATAAGCCATTCTAGGACATTAAATCATAAATCTTAGGCCAACAACCTCAGCCCGGGGTCTTTACTCTTGAGTATTTTTGTCTTACAAAAACCTGCGGCAGAAAGTACAGAAGCTTTGAAGACTATAATTATCATCTCCTGTAGGCTACATTGATCACTCCAAAAATATATTACTCTAAAAAAGCTCTTGAATATTCAAAGCACAGGAGTTTATTTTTGTGTTTCACTAGGCAACTAACCAAGAATCCAGATTATGTCGGCCGACCTGCCATAGCAGGCTTTGGTGAAAAGCTGAAAAAAAAACAAAAAGCTATCCAGTATGTCCTCTTCAAAGAGCTGGGGACCACAAGCAACATTCCTCAACCAGCACTATGACAACTTCTGATGCTCTGTGCTATGGGAAGTCGAATTGAGCTGCTGCAAAGGCAAAGCCTTTCATCAAAACAGAGGAGATGAAGGGAGCTTTGATGGACACACATGTTCTGTTGATAATACACATTACAGTGGAATGGGATACCTTTAAAATGTCATAACATTTATTTAGGGTTAACCTACATCTACTACATATATAAATTCATAAGGATCCTACTCAAACTAGCCAATGCACATAACACTTTTAAAATCAAAGCAGAGAAAGAAATTACTACATCTCTCCAGAAACTCTTTCATTCCAATCCAACGAGGCATCACACATCCATGCCAACATTCTTGTAATCACAGGACTTGGCAATGCTGGAGTCAGAATAATAAGTGAGAAGCGATTTGCTAGTACTGTGCATGATGTCAAAGAATAGATGGTGTCCTCCTCTTCAAGCACTGGGGTTAAACGCCCCTCACAGCTCGATTGTTGGGCTACAATGGGGGCTCTGAGCAGACGCTGAACATATGGAATGAATAATGGGCCTCATTACAAACATCCAGGGGTTGCCTGGAGTCACACAGAAGGCCCACAATGCACTCTTCCAAGCCTAAGCTGCTACATAATGCTGGCTGGCTACACTGGAGGATAGTGAGGTTCCTCTGATGAGCTTGACAGTTTGCGCTCCTGCATTGATTTATTGCAACAAATGCTACTGAATAGTCTCCAAAGTCATGCTTGCACTGTAGTGAACAAACTCCATTTAATCACCAAATAAAACTGAGGCAAGACAACTTTAATACTTGCTAATGTAGTTGTCTTACAATGAGAACAAACCCCATTGTGATTCCATTATAAGAGAAAACCATAACCATTATCCTCTATTATTCACCGACATGCTGGGGAAGTATAGTTGGAGGCACAAGGGCACTGGCCATGTTTCTGAAATGTCCATTTAGAACTTCCCCTTCAATCCCAAAGCACCCTGTATTCCATAATAAAACAAGTACCAAGGACAGACCTTGGCTACTGCCAGCACATGACGCAGTTTCTGACTACTGACCCGAGTGAACAATTCTTTACAAAACTGAAAGAAAATGGCCTCTGAAAGCAGAGCAGAGAGGAGGGGAAGTACAGCAACTGGGCAATATGTAACTTCTAACCAGTCTGTCTTACAGTAACTGAACAACATTCACTTTAGAGCTGAAACAATTTAGTTGATTATTTTTATTTTCTAATACAGTAAACTGAAAATCTTTGATTTTAAGAAATTGTAAGGGCTATTTTCAATTCTTTTGATATTTTAGGGACAATATGATTAATTAAGCAAATAATAACCAATAATGGAAGTCACCATTATTTGTAGTCCAAATCCACTTACAGTACAACTTTTCTTGGATCAAGTGATGGCGTCCAATTTCACTTTATTCATGGTCTGTAAAAGCTCATAAGTGACCCTTGAGATTAGAATATTTATTCAGAGATAATTTGAATATATACACCGATCTGCCATAACATTATGGCCACTGGCTGGTGAAATGAATAACACTGACTGTTACAGTGGCACCTGTCAGTATGTGGGGTATATTAGGCAGCAAGTGAACATTCAGTCCTCAAAGTTGATGTATCAGGAGCATGTAAAATGAACAAGCGTAAGGATCTGAGTGACTTTGACAAGGGCCAAACTGTGATTGTGAGATGACTGGGTCAGAGTATCTCCCACTCTGCAGGTCTTGGTGGGTGTTGTTGGTCTGTAGTAGTTAGTACCTACCAACAGTGTCTAAGGAAGGACAAATGGTGAACTGGAGACAGGGTCATGGACGCCCATGGCTCACTGATGATGAGGTTGACCTACTGTAGATTATACTTTTAACTTCCATTTGTACTTTTCAAAGGATTAAAATGTATTTGAATCTTTGTTAAAATGGTTGAAAATGAGAAATACTGTCCATTGGTCTCTATGAAGAGAAAGAGTCGGGGGCTGTAGTGGTGATATCACACCTAGAGTGGGGAGGCTGTTGAATTGGTCTAAGAAATTCTCTTACTTTTCCTCATGACTACAGTTTTCACTCCTTTTACATAAGTTTTTCACTGAATGGTCAACACATCTGTGCTCTTCCTGACAGTAGAACTGTGGAAACAAATGGATTCACAGAAGATGTACAATGAGCTGGAGAGTGAAACGAGTGCCAACCAACTGCCACATTGTATGTAAGCATTATTAGGCAGGTGGTCATAATGTTATGTCTGTATTACCAGATAGATAATAATCTATCTAAAACTAATATAAAACCAATTCTAAATGAAAATTTTACTAGTTTTACAAGCATATATATGTTCATCAATACTCTCCAGCCCTGTCAGCATGCTTTTGAATAGAAACATTAATAAAACATTACTTGATCACATTTAGATTTTTCTTTTTGTTTAATCCAAAATTGAATTGGGATCATGATCTGTTTTGCTCAAGCATTTATAAAAAAAAAAAGAAGAAGTATTTAAAAGATGCAACCACTGCCCCACTTTACCCCCGTCAATCAAAGGACACTGAAAGCCATCAGTTTGGAAGGATGATGTGTCTGGTGTCCATCAAGTGTCTATTATTAGACTCATTTTTAAAGGTGAGTGGAGCTCAGCTTTTTAGAGATATACCCATGAGGTGGACCAATGTGACTGGAGCTGACCAATAACCAAGAACAGAGGGCGGGGTTTCAAACTAGAGGGGAAACTAAGAAAGTAGACAACAAAAATGGAGGCAGTTCCGGGCTGACATGTGTGCCCCTACTGTCTAACACTGGTGGTAACCAGCTAGTTGTTATGTAACTCACGTTTCATATTGTCAGCAGATAACAGTTAAAGAGAAGGAGGTCTGACACAAAAACAGTGTAGAAGTCTGAGGGTTGGTCCACCCTAAAGGTCATAGGAGGTAGTATGGTTTCCACCAGACACTATTTAAAAGGAAGTAGTGTGTGTCTCTGTCTCGTACACAAATATTTCTCCCAGACTTTGCCTCTCACATACATACATAGCGTTATATAGACTATGTACATGTACATAACACACACACACTGGGCTGGCCACCTCTCCCCCTTCACTTACCTGACAACATTGGGGTGCTCAAAGGCTTCAAGCTGCTTCAGTACCGCCACCTCCCGGATGGTGGAGAGAGGCATACCTTCTTCTTCCGACTGGACACGAACTCTTTTTAGGGCTACAAAGCGTCCCCCGTTCTTCAGATCTCTCGCCTTGTACACTTTCCCATAAGCGCCTTCTCCAATCTCGGCCACAGGCTCATATTGAGTACCAATACTTTCTTTGTCCATTTTTGCAGAATTTTTTTTCTCCTCTCTTGTTGAAAATATTGCGGGGAATCCCGGCGAGGGTGGCGAGCCAGCTTCTCACAAAGGCATATTCACAGAAAAAAGTTGGCACATGCAATGCCTAGATGACAGGGAGATACATATGAAGGAAGACACCATCTTTGTCAGATTTGGTCAAACTGTGCTCCAGGTAGGCAATAACAGGACTGTCATCATGTTTAAATCCGACTATCAACACAAGAGCTGCGCTGCGTCCCAACTTCCACTCCTCCTCCTATTACGCATAGCAACTTATGTCCTCCTACCTCTAGCACAAAGTAATATAAAATGATTAAAATTAGCCATCTTTAGCCTCTGTGTATGCTAGCTTTCCATTAAATAAACCGCCTGGCGCATTTAATAATTCATTTTGCATGCAGTGTTGTTTAAGTTATGTTCATGTGGACTGTCGTACTGCGTTAAAGGAAATTAAACAAGATAAGTTTATAGAGAACACACAGCACAAAGCTTACAAAGCACGCTGTTTTAAGTTAGTTGGTTATTTTACTAACTGCTTTCCCTGTCTTGGCTTTTCATACTTTCTGTTTGAGGCGAAACAAACTTGGCGAGCACGTGGCTGTCTACTGATTGCATTGTCTTAACTTCCTACAGCAACAACCCATTTAAAACACTGTAAAACTCGAATTTCAAGTCTGGAATTGTTCTAAATGTGTAAAACATTGCAGAAGCAGAGTCTTAAAGACGTTTTCATTAGCTTAGATGACTTCCTCTAATTTTTTCTAATGTAATTGTGCATGAACTCCAATAGCCTAATTAAAGTCTATTGGAACAAATAATGGAATTGCGCATTCAGGTTTTTAAAATAAAATGGATTGCAAAGCAACATTTTCAGCCTCGTAAAGACATTTTGGTATGACATTCTTCAGAAATTCGCCCAGCTTTTACTGTTTACCTTGTTTGATGTTGTCAATAAAATGTCGTAACGTCGGCATGTCCGATAAAATGCTGAGAGGGCATTCGTGTTTCGGATTAAATGCCTTGCATCAAACGCATCCTTGTCCGCTGTCCACCATGCGGGGGCCACACAGGTAGTTGGACGGTGCAGACTCTAACCCCCCATCTCTTAGACTGTACCAACCCAGGGAGAGACACTCAAACAAGGGAGGGGGAGGAGGGGGAGGGCTGTAGCTACTAAAACTCACACACACTCACATTGCAACTTTGTGTGTGGGGGTGTGGAGGGGAAGGGATGTGTGTGTGTGTGTGGGGTGGAGGGGGGGTCGGGTCATAGGACAAAGGCAAACGCGTGATATAGCCCTCCAAATCCACGCTCTTCTTTGGATTTTCTCATTTCTTTCTTCTTCTGTTTTATTTTTTTCTTCCATATATCCCCATGCAACTGCAGCCCCGCTTGCCTGCCTTTCCCACGCCGGCTGAATGTGGCCTGACCCCCTTCAGAGAGGTTTGACACGGAGCGGGGACATTTCCGCATTCCTCCCCGACTACAAAGGCACACCGCCTCCTTCTTGCTCTCCCTCGGCCTCCTCGGTGCTTTACCATTCATAGTCCTCTCCTCGGGTTTTGTCTCCTGTGTCAAAACCGGGAGCACAGCAGGGATCCGGGAGGGGAGAGAGGAGGGTTATTGGATGGACGGCCACACTATCTGTCTCCCTCAAACCAACTACCAACAAAGCGTCAGCGGGGGGTGCAGTGTGGCCAGCTCGCCCTGGATGGACCTGAGGGGTCAGGTTCAAGGCCCTCTGGCATGAAAAGGTGACTCCTGCTCCATGCCAAACTGCAGGCGTTATGGTCATGTAGTGTGCAGGATGGCAAAAAAAAATTTATATGAAAATGTGGAAGAATATACTTCATAATATAAGGATATTTCACAACAAATTATGATTTCTGAATTTCTGCAGTTCAGTTCATGATGCAAACAACAACAACCACAGTAGCAATAATAATAATAATGATTAACTTTTCTACAGTAGGCCTACTTAAAATGAATTCTTGTGTAAATTCAAACTATAATTTATTTACAACTTATACCTAAAATAATTAGATGTTTTATTATCTAAGAAAAATATTACAAGTAAGTCTTAAAACTTCAATTTAAACATTTAAATATCTTCTAATCAAAATAACATTTTAGACAATATTTCTTTTTTATTTGCTTGTTTAGTTTTTTTGTTTTAAAGTTCTTCAACCTTTGACATAAAGTTTGTGTTCCACATTGTATTCTCTTTCATACAGTTTAGACATGACAAGACTTGATGTCAGATTATCACAATGAACAGTCAAATACAGGCTTGTAACCAAGCCCCACTATCATAACTACAGTGGAAGGCAGGTTTTGGCGACACACACAAATTCAGAGGAAGGACATTCCCTTGGTGATATGATGTACATGCAAACCTGTTTTGCATGCTGCTTGTAGAATCCACTGATTCCCACTGAAAAGATGTGGAGGATGACATGGAAGTATGCATGGCCATTTCCCCTACCCAACATTTGATACAGTTATTCATAATGTGTTAATAAATAATTCATTTGCATCACAAAGCACACAGTGCAGACAATGTGCCCCAGACCAATTACTGTAAATGTGGGCATTTACATTTTTTCATCATCATTGTTCATGTGAGCCCAGCAATGAGAGCCATCCCCCAGAGTGACTACATTAGCATGCATACTTCTTATTTGGTTGGAGAACAAACCAATTAGATTCACTGTGTGCAGCACAGAGAGGAGACACACACACACACCTCAAATATTCAAGCACACACATTCTGAAAGACTGCTTCATATAATCTTCCGACAACACTCACTGATTTGTAAATATCTGACACATAAGCGTTTCCCCCCACAGTTTCCACAGTTTGTGGTGTCTTGTGCAGGGGAATCATTTTTGAAGAGCTGCCAGGAACAGGACGGTCAAATTATGAAAGTCATGTTCTGGCTTCATCATGGTCAGAATATCATTTAATGTTCAAGCTTGTGCCTTTCGGGAGTTCTTGAAGTTGTGAAAAAAGCAACAGTAGCCTGTGCTTTTTATTCTCAAGCAGCTGATGACACGATGAAAGATCAAACAATTCTGATACACTTGCTTTAGTTGACAGCCGCACTTCAGTGGATTTTAATCACAGTTCATTTAAATGATAAAACATCTGTTACATAAATACACTTTTTAAAGCTTAATTTAATCATAAAATAGCATTTTGTTTTGTAACTTTGACAAGAGGCAGTCACTCTGATCCAGAACAGGTCTTGATTTTTGGACTTTTTGTCTTCAGATGTGTTTATGTGCATTAGGTGACTTACATACACCAAAATGTTATTTAATCAGGATATTTCCAACTTTGCTACTTTGCTTTGATACTTATGCTATAAATGCTGGTTTTTGATATAGTTATTCATAATGTGTTAATAAATAAATACTCACACTTTTTACTTCAGCAAAATTTGTTATACAAAACACTTCATTACAAAATTGAAGTCCTGATTTTCTAAATCCTACTTTCCATTGTATGAGAAGCATTTCACTGTTATATATGATGAAGGCATACTTCTAACTTTAATTAACTACTGTTCGGTAGGTTATTCGAGTAATTCCTAACCTAGGGGTCTGACCCACTCCAGAGAGTCACAAGATAAATCTAGCGGGTTTGTGAAATGATCAATGGGAGAAGGAAGAAGCTATTTATACTGTCTAGGGCTGTGCACAGGACTATTATAGTTATTTGTATAAATGTTAGACTTTTTTTTCTAAGTTTAGCTTTATTGTGAAATATATATTTTCACCTCTTCCTGCCTCAGATACTTAGGGAATGACATCTGAAAGGTGATATGGAGCTTCAACCAGAGACTTTACAATTCAAAAAGGTTAAGAACAAAGCTTAAATAAACTATTGTGTTTTATAAACTTATCATACAAAATGTAAAATCTTAATCTGAAATGACAAAAGTTGTCAGATAAATGTTCTGATGTAAAATGTACAATTTGCCTCTGAATTGTTGCGTGGAAGTATAAAGTAGCATATAATGGAAATACTTAAATAATTTACAGGTACCTCTTACTGTATTCCACTACAGTATTTGATTAGATACTTTCCACTGTTGGTGTTAATTACAAGCCTTTTCCTGTCTTTCTATAAGGGACAATTAAAGCTGGTCTCCTTATCATAATTTAACAATCCTAAATAATAGTTAAGAAAAAGAATACATGTTGCAGAAAAGCCGAAATCATTTCACTGTGGCATTACATCTCAGTATTCGTGGGCTGGTAGGGTTGAGGAATGCTGCCTGACAAAGCCACTCCTTCAGATTTCTTTTCATGAACTAAAGGTAATCTACTGGATCCGCCCCCACCCCACCAAAAGAAGGTGAACTCACTAACAGGGTGGTCAAATGTTTAAAGAGATTGTCCAGACAGTTCCTCAGGTATGGACAGGCCAGATAATAAGCCGGCAGTCCTTTCTGCATGTCTGAATGTTGCTGTGATAAGACAGTGAAAGGCCTGTTAGGGAGGAACTGCTCATTCGCCAGGATTAAGTGAAACCTGATATGGAATCAAAGCAAGGAGAAAAGAGAATAAACCAAACATAATTATGAGGACAGTGCTGCTTGCTTTCCAAGATTTTTTTTCCTGTTAGTTTTCATTACTCAAAAGTGGGCTGCTGTTTGATAGTATTTCATCAACCTAAGTTCAGTATTTAATAATAGCCTTTCACTTCCATACCTATTTTGGTAAGAACTGTAAAACAGCTTAATATTCAAGAACTTAATATTTACATTAAAATACTAAGGCCATGTTCTGACTGAGTTTCAGATGTGTGAAAAAATGCAGCTCTCTCCATTCTATGGGGGACTGTGCTCACTGCAGTGGGCACCAGCACCACTGGGTGCTCCAGCAAAACTCCGCAGCCCTGTGCGGTGAAAAGGCTCGATCTGGTTCAACTTTTGCCACACTGGACAGTGACACCAGCTGGCAAAGGTGCTGCATTGATCAGTCAACATAGGGACAGTTGGAATGTGGACAGGAAGAAAACTCTTTTGTTTACCTTGTTAGCACAAGCATCACTGCTTTTCACTTTTGGATTGGGACCACAGTTAATGCATCATAATGACACGTCATATATTTTAATTATAAGCTATTGCATGTTAAATTGTGTGTTTTTTTTTTTTATCTATCAATGTCGATACACTGGTAGTAAAAATTGGTGCTAACGTAAAGTAGGCTACATTAGCAGCATGGCTAACCAAAACACAATGGAAACTCACAGGCTGGAAACACGAACTAAGCCACTTACTTTGACTGGTCACAATGTGGCCATATCGTACACACCTACAACACTCCCCTTGCAACCCCCCAAACTAATGCAGCAACCCCTTGCATTAGTTAAGACCCGTAAGAACAGCCGCTAAGACCCAAAGTACTATTCTATTCATTTTCATCTGCTTATCTGGGATTGGGTCATCAGGGCAGCGGATTTAGCAGAACATTCCAGATGCCCCTCTCCCCAGCAACGTTCTCCAGCTCTTCTTGGAAGATTCCAAGGTGTTTTACTTATGCTAAATGAGATATATAATCCCACAGGCACAATCTGGGTCACCCCGGGGTCTTAAACTGTTGGATGTGCCTGGAAATCCTCCAACGGAAAGTGCCTTGGAGGCATCCTAATCATATGTCTGAACCAGCTCAGTAGTAAAGCTGAGAGCCATCACGTCACTCAATTTATCAAACAATGTGTAAA